AAGCCCAGAACACACCAAAAGGATCCAGACCGTGCCATCACAAGAAATGCAAAACCTGCCAACACATCTCCACTACCCCCACTATTACTACACCCCACAACAGAGCCATCAGCGTTCCTGGATCTTACAGCTGCACCTCCAGAAATGTAATATATCTCATCCAATGCACCAAATGCCCTGATGGACAATACGTAGGAGAGACCAAACAACAACTGCGCACCAGAATGAACGCACACCGGAAATCTATCAAAGACAGAAACACCCAGTGACCTGTGGGGGCACATTTCTGACAAGAAAACCACTCTCTCTCCAATCTCTCAGTCCTGATCCTCAAAGGAAACCTACAAAACATTTCCCAGAGACAAGCCTATGGACTCCACTTCATCAACCTCCTGGATACTAAAAATCATGGACTAAATATAGACATTGGATTTATGACACATTATAACCTGCCTGACATCTGACTCTCCAGGTATCTCTCCACTTTCGTCCCTGTCTCTCTCTCCCCCCTCCCCACCCCCCAGCCTGTCTCTCACCCACTGACTCCTCAATCTACATTTTCACTGACTGCCTGTCTTGTATGCATACCAGCCCAGCCCCTGGCTTCTTTACTTTTCATTCCATCCAGGAAGAGCACGCGCCAACTGGTGAAACTTCCTTAGCCTGACAAAGGGTTTTTGAACCCGAAAGCTTGCTTAATAATTATTTTCCAACTATTTGGGTTGGTCTAATAAAAGATATCAGATTCACCCGAAGAACCTTGTCTGCTCTGGTGAATAGCAACACAGTCAAGCAAGAACTGATAGTTTTGAAAGAGCTTGAAACCTGTTGTCCTGCTTTTTTGTTAACCTATATTTCTTTAGCTTTCTTTTACCTTACAAGGTTCTTTGCCTGAATGTGATATCTTTTAGACCAACTTAAATTGCTGGAAAACCTGTACCCTTTTACCTTACAAATCATTTCCTGAGCAAGGGCTTGGGTTACTGGTTCTGGCATAATTTTGCTTTGCCAGATATGAATCTACAAATAATAAAAATTGTATTCACAAGATCATTTAAAAATACATGATTGAGTAAGGTTAATTTGTTTGTATTTTTAACTGTGTCCTTTTCTGCACATACCAAATCTTTGCTGCTAAAAAGAAGGCATGGTCAACTTCCTTTCTTATAAATATTATCTTTGTTCCAGCTTTCCTCACTTACAACTTAAAAGATGCTTCAAGTGACAGCTGGATTGGTTTGAGTAACAGAAACAAGGGACGCATCTCTCTTTGGAAGGATGGAAGTGATGTCTCTTATACAAACTGGGATGCAGAAGATAGAATGCATAGTGCATTTGGATTTCAATATCCGGTAAACTTTAATTGCAGATTATCATCCAAAGGAATTGGAGAGGTCACTGGACACATCTATACAAGATGCTATTGCACAGCATAGCTCGTTGCTACCGTGCAGTATCATTGGTGGGTAGTAACCATAACAGCAACCATGCTGTGCAGTAGTAATGAGCTACTGTGCAATAGAATAAAAAAGCCCATGCAGGGATGGTACTGAGCAGTAATGCCAGTTACTGTGCAGTCATTTAGTACTTGGTTAAGCAAGTACTAAATGACTGTGCAGTAACAACTCCACGGTCCACCACTCATGTAGATGTGGCCACTGAGTCTTTCAATAAACTGCTCAAATTACTTCTTATATAGTTTCCCTCTTTCTCTGCAACATTCATTTTCTTGTAGTTGGGTGCAGATCTGTAATGTTTCATGATCCAGCTTCTTCTAGAAAAGAGTTTAAGTAGCTCAAGAGATGAGTATTGCATTCATGCAGTTTTGTAATGACATTCCAAAATGCTGTAGGTTCAGTGGGCTGCCCAGAGCCACAGGTACAACAGAAAATTATTTCCTTTTTATTTGGAGAATATTTTTGATGCATTACTGAAATGATTGGAGGGAGATTAAGAGTATGAAAGAGTTTTAAATATTTTCTGCATTTTTCCCTTCCAGTTTTTTTTGAGTTGAGCCTGGCTTATAAAAGGGCAATAAATATTTTTAGAGCAGTGAGCAGGCCTTGTCAGTCTTCACCAGTATTGGAAGAAATTAGAAACTGTTAAGGACACTAATTTATATATGTTGGGCTAACCCTTATCAAAAAACATCTTGTATAACTGTTGACTTTTAAACTAAAAGCCAAGTAGAAGAACAGAAGAACATGAAAACTGCCATTTACTGGGTATAATTTGGGTTATTTTTGCCCATGTGCATCACTTACCTACATTGAATTCCATCTTCCATTTAGCCGCTTATTTGCTCAATAGCACTAGATCCTTCTGTAGTTACTCACAATTTACCTTGGTCTTAACCACTTTGAGTAATTTTGTGTCAACTCTTCATAAATTTTCACAAGCATACACTGAATTGCATACACCTAATATCTTTTTTACCCCAGTTCCTCCATGCATTCAAAAATTTTCATGAAACAAATTTAATCATTTCAAACTACTCCACTCCCAGTTTTTTCAACATACACACCCACTCACCTAATCCATTCCACCTTTGTTCACTCTTTCATTGTCCTAGGTATGCAAGCAGACATAGTTTAACGAACCCACAAGTTTAACAATTTTTCCAGGGACTATCTAGTTATATGCCATATCATGTAAATCAGGATTGATACCTTAATCATATCCACCTGGTGGAGAACTGCTGCCCCTCCTCAGGAAGTAGTCCCCACTTATTGTTGAGACTACTGCCTGCCCTTAGGATGAGGTTAAGGAGCTGGGGACAAGGATCATTGAGCCAGGGCATCAATCGTCTTACTCATCTTCTTTAGGAGATAGTGGGTACATCTATGTGAGATGCTTTACTGCACCATTGCCTAGTTTACAAAGCAGTAAGCACATGTGTCTACACCTGTGTGTGCTTACTACACAGTAAAAATCCCTAATCGCGAGGTAACAAATTTAAGCGCAATTAGTAACTGCAGTAACACATGTAGATGCAACTCAGCAGCAAATTTGCTGCCAGGTCTGTCCAGCCACTAGGGGGCTGGCTTGAGGCCAGCCCCAGGGCTCCTGGCTGGGAGCTTCTCCTGCTCCAGGGCTGGGCTGGCTCACTGGCAGCCTGTGCCTGCAGGCTATAAAAGCCTGCAGCCATTTTGTGCCTTGGGGGATACATCACAGGCAGTCTGAGGGCAGTGCAAGTCTTGTGTGCCCCCTGGGCAGGCTACAGCTGAGCTGTCCCTGACTTCCTGGAGTCCTTTGTTTTTGCATGACCCTGCACAGCTTTGTGGCTACCAGGGCACTGCTGCCAGGCAGGTGGGTGTAGAAGATCTGGTGCAGGCTGCTCCAGCCCCTGGCCAGCCTGTCAGTACCCCAGGGCTGCCTGCAGACTGGTCTTGGCAACAGGGCCAGGACCACCTGCCTACTGCACACCCCAGCAGCCTGCTCTGTACCTGCAGCTGCTTCGGGGCATAGCCTCTGCTATGTAGCTGCTGGTCCCTTGCCGTGCCCCTGCACTTAGCATTGCTGGCAGCTGCCCAGAATGGCAGCAGAGGGACAGCTGCGAGGAGGCTTAGACAGTCAGTCCAGGACCTACGATGGCCTTCTCCCCATCCAGGCCCACCTCAACCCAGGTGCACACACCCATGCCCTCCACCCAGGGCTCTAACTGGATCCAGGAAGAGATTAACGACCTTGTGGTGCCCAGGACATCGGGCGCAGCTACATGCCATTATCAATGGGGAGGACTATGCTGAGCCACCAGCCTCACCAGCCCCAGACACATGGTAAGCCCTGCACTGGGGTGGGGGGCCACTCTACTCCAGTCCCCACCCCTGCTCCCAGCCTCCCCTTCCTGCCTGGCCTGCCCACACTCTCCTGGCCCTGGGTTTCCCCCACAACACACAGGGAGGTGGGACACAGTGCAAAACTTTATTGAGCAGCCCATGCCCCAGCAACTAGGCAGCTATAGGCCTCTCACATGCTGAGGAACAAGTCAATGCTGGCAGTAATGTCCTCCTCAGCAGCGGTGGCAGAGACATATAGTGATGCCACAGGTAGCATTCCAGGCAGTGGCATAGGTTGTAGGGCAGCCGAGGCTTGCCTTCTCACCTTTATAGCTCAAGGCCCCAAACTGGGAGCACGGGTATGCCCAGGGCACCAGGAGGAACAACAGCAGCAGGACATAGTAGATTGGGCACCCCTCAGCCTACACAAACAGCTCATCATGCACTGCCCAGGGCACATGCAGCAGGGACACATTTAGGGTTCAGTGGAGGTATGGTGGGGGGGAGGGGGGTGGCCCCAGGGTGTTTCCCCAGAGATGCCTCCCAGCATGGAAGGTGGAGACTTGGCCAGCTCCTCATCCCAGTTGTCCAGAAGTCTCATGCATCTCAAGCCTGGGCACCATGGGCTGTGTAGCAGTGTAGCAGAGCAGTTGGCCTGCACAGGGAGATTTTGGGGAGCGGGATGTGGAATCATGGCAGCATGTGCTGGAGCCTGGCCTGTCCCACTCTGGGGCAGGGGAGGCAGACTGCCTGTGGCCAGCACCCAGTGGCCTGCCAGACCTAGGGGAGTGTGTGGGGATGGGGGGTTTGGTCAGTGGCCACCTGGGCCTGAGCCTGCCCTGCCGACTTACCATGGTCCCTGGGCACCCATGCATGGCCAACCCCCAATCTGAGGCAGGGCAGTGCATGGCCCCTGATGCAGGGCATCTTATCTCCAGACTGTTGCAAACTTGAACAAAAGGCTTCTGTCTCCTGGCTCTGCAGATCCAACATCTGGACTTGGGGGAGTGGCCATGGAACCAGCGGGGATGCCAAGTCAGGGAAGCCGCTGCCCAGTGCCACAGCCCTCCAGATGCACCAGCTGCACCAGAGGCACTACAGGATCAGACCCTCCTCCTCCAGCAATGGTTGGTGGTGGCCAAGGAGCAGGAGCGGACCACCTGGGCCTGCTGAGAGGAGAACTTGGCTGAGGAGGAGAGGTGGTAGGAAGAGGACCTGGCTCACCAGGAGAGGTGGCAAGTGGAGGACATCACCAGGGAGGAGCTGGTCCAAACTGACTTCCTGGCCCTGGAATGGGAGCAGCTCCAGGTCTTGTGAGACCAAAATAGGATCTTGGGCCAGGCCATAGAGGATGATGACTGTCATACTCTGGACACTGTCCTGGGCCTGGCAGTCTTGTGAGTGCCTGCTGCTGCCTGGCCCCTGTCCCTAGCCCCACAGACCCCCTGACAGCTTCTTGCCACCCCACAGCATGCCCCACCTGGTCCTGGGAGGAGGTCCTCCTGCCACTTCCCTCCCACAGGAGCCCCTGGCCCAGCCCCTACCCCTGTGTGCCACCACCTGCCTGGGCCCATCCCTGCTGCTTGCCCCAGCTCTAAGTGGACATTGAGCTAGAGCTGTCTGGAATGGTGCCGAGACTGGATGTCAGCCATGCTGGGCCTGGACTCCACCAGCTAAAAGGGGAGCCAACCACTCCAGAGGAGCACTGGTTGCCATCAACCCTGAGCGAGCCCTCCACCCACCAGATGTGCCATGGCATGCACACCCATGGGGGAACAGCCTGAGTCCAGGGTGCTGGCCACCTGCCCCCAGGCTCTGCCCACTAGGTGCCCCCACCCTATGCCCCCGCCACTCCAGGACAGCAAAACACAGACTTTGTAAATAGTTTCACACTGGGAAGAGAGATTTTTTGATTGTTGGTGGGTGGGGAGGGTGGTGGAGGGAGCTCTGTTTGTTCAGTGGGGAGGAATGGGGGTGTGTCATGAGGAGAATAAAGATTTCTTCTTTGGACATGTGTCTGGCATGAGAGTGGTACTGGAGATGGGCAGGGAGGCCTGTGGGCTGCAAGGCAAGTGAGCTAGAGCTGGGAATGCTTCAGGGGGTGATCTGCAGCTGCTGCCGCAGCTTGTACTCCCACTGCCAAGCCACCTCTGCAAGCTGTGCCTCATCCACCCAGGCCTCATGGAACAGCTCTCCCTTGGCCTCACAGATATTATGCAGCACACAGGCTGTGATGATGACCCAGGGGAAATTCTTGTTGGCAACCTAGAGGTGGGCAGTGAGGGAGTGCCAGTTGCCCTTGAGGTGGCTGAAAGCACACTTGACCAATGCGTGGGTCCAGTCCAGGTGCCAGTTAAAGTGGGCCTGGCAGGGGTCTAGGTGGCCAGTGTTAGGGCCTCATCAGCTAGGAGAGAAGCGGGTAGGCTGGGTCTCTGATGAGCAGGGGTGGGACAACCACAGCATCTAGCTGCAGGCCCAGCATCCCCAGTGTGAAGTGCCCACTCTCCATGAGTCCCACCAGCCCAGAGTTCCTAAAAGTGTCATGCATGGGCATTATGCATGCTGCCTGCCCAGCCAGTGCTCACATGAGTGAATGTGTCCTGGTGGTCCATGATGGCCTACATGACCAGAGTGGAATCCTCTGTGGCTATAATAGAGGTGGTCTCCATGGGGCGGGCATGTGACCTGTATGTGGGTCCCATCCAGGACCCCGATATACTGGGGGAACCCTAGTGCACAGAACCTTGCCACCGCCACCTGGGAGTCATGGACATGGAAGACGGTGTCCACCAGCATGTCCTGGAGGGCAGTACACACATCCAGGATGGCCCAGTGGTGGCCTTGCCCATGCCAAACAAGGGCTGGCTGGTGCAGTGGGCCCAGAGACAGTGGGGCTGGAGGCCCAGGAGGGTAATGATGGCCCCAGCAGTAGCCTTATGGAGCCACTCATCAGTGTCCCTGGCATCAGCAGCTGCATGGTGGCTGTGGCCCTGGGAAGGCACATTGCAGGTGGGTAGGCAGTGGTTGGTCATGGGGGAGCTGAATGAATCAAGATGGCCATGAGCCAGCCATTGGTCAGTTAGACAGGCCAGCAGGATGATTGTGATGGCCAGCAGGTTCCTAGAACACTGCTTGTTGCTGCCAGGGCCAGGGACTGGGGCAGCCATAGTGCAGGAAGGCAGGGTAGGCACAGACAAAGTGACTGTGTGCTGCCTCTGCACATCCCATGCTGCTCCTGAGCACATGAAGGGGCTGCCCAGACAGCACAGAGCAGAGCTGCCTTTTAAAGAGGGCTGCCAGGTAGGCCTGTGTGAAGCGGCTAGTATTCACTTCGGATTTGGATTCAGCCAATTTGGGGGAGAATGATTCGATTTGGTGATTTGAATCACTGTCTCGAATCGATTCAGCTGAATCTGCTTCGGTGATTTGGCCGCTGCCAAATCGTACAAATCTCCAAATCAGACAGGACTCATCCCCCGCCCACTCTCCCAGCCATTTTTTTTTGTCTCCCAATTCAATTCAGATTTGGTCATTTGACCTCTGAATCGGGCCAAATCTTCTCTGAATCAAATCAGTGACCAAAGCTTCACGCACCCCATTATGCAAGTAACTGGTTAATCATGTAACAAAGTTAGTCTGGCCACGTATGCAAAGTAAGACTGGCCACAAGTGCAAAGAAATTATCACACAATTGACTAGATAATCATGCAATAAATTTAGACCAGCCACACATGCGAAATAATTATCACACAATAAAAATGACTATCCAACTATAAAAAGAGACAACCAGCTATCAAGTTTGTGCTTGAAAATGTGTAACAACACTATAACTGGTTTCTATCTAGCTTTAATTTGAACTTGTAGCAGGGGCCTTAGAGAAATCACTTACTTTATTAGTCTAGACAAAGATCACCATACATGTGTGGTTGCAGGAAGTACATTTTGCATGTGCACATGTATGCATCCTGTTCATGTGAGTAATTACATTCTTGACTATTTCTAAACCTAACTGAACCATTAAAAGTGATTAACAATCAAAGAATAGTGTCAGTGACATGCAAACTATGTTGTTATTGGTTTTGTTCAGTAATAATCCTTTTTCTTTTTGTAATCATGCATTACGGCACTTTTATTCTTTTTTTGCTCTACCCTGAGGTCATTGTAGTGGCCTGGTGTCCTAGTCGACCATCACCCCTTCACACACTCCCATTGTTATGCTATTTATTTTATTACGTTTTATTATTTAATTTGCCCAGCTTTCTTAATGAGTGTTTTAACAGCTAAATTAATAAGTAACAGAATAGAACAGACCCTGGTTAGTGAAATGAGAAAGTGTCGTATTGCAAACCTTGTGATCCAAAATCAATAAGAATCTCCTCCACTTCTATGGCTGAATTCATCATGAACTTTTCACTCCCAGCCTCTCTTTCACAGTAAGCACCAGTGCAGGCTTTAAAAGTTTCCATGTTCTCTTTTCAACTTCATTTTAATACTAAGATATAATTGGGATCTGTTCAGTAACAAATGAAAGAGAGGGTGGGTACACAATATTTATAATCCTAGGTTTTGTGCCTTTTCTTGGTGTTTAATTCTCATCTCAGAAGTAATAGTATCACTTAAGCATCACTTCTCTATGGTAATAAAAAGTATAACGCTGATGAGCAGGCTGAGCTGAAAGAGTAGAAGCACTGGAAAGATACCCAGAAAGCAGGTGAAATAGATACTGTCTGTAAAAGGATGCCATAAGGAATAAAGCGTTACTATCATTGTAATGCAAATTTCACACAAAAATGCTATCAGAATTCAAGTGTAAAAGGAAGCAGGACTGATGCTGCCAGGGCTATAATGTGACAGAATTTCCTCCTTTGCTACTGAAGACAAGGTTCTTTGGGTAAATCTGATATCTTTTATTAGACCAACTCAAATAGTTGGAAAAATTCTTCTTAGCAAGCTTTTGGGCACAATCAACCTTCATCTGGCTGAAGAAGCATCTACAGATGGTCTCTGCTCTTCCTGGATGGAGTGGTAAAGCAGCCAAAGGCCAGCATGTATGCAGGAAAAGCAGTCAGTTAAAATGTAAATTGAGGTGGTCAGTTGGTGAGAGATGGGGCAGGGAGGAGAGGGTAAATGAGTGTAGCTGTAGTCAAAGGATGAGAGACAGGAGGGAGAATAAATGGTAAAAAGGGGAGAGGTACCTGGGGACTCAGATGTTAGGCAGGTTATAATGTGTCATAAATCCAATGTCTGTATAGGCCATGATTTTTTGCATGCAGTAGATTGATGAAGTAAAGTTCATAGACTCATCTGTGAAAGGTATTTTGTAAATTCCCTCTGAGGATTCCAACTGAGAAAGTGAAGAGAGTGGTTTTCTTGTGAGAAATGTGCCCCCACAGGTAATTGGTTATTCTTGTCTTCGATAGATTTTTAGTGTGTGTTCAATCTGGTGCGCAGTTGTTGTTTGGTTTCTCCTACATATTTTCCATCAGGGCGTTTGGTGCACTGGATGAGATATATTGCATTTCTAGAGGTGTTTAAGCAACAAACCTCACCAACATCATCACCAGAAGCAAACTTCCTATAGCCCAAACACACCGAATGGATCCAGACCATGCCAGGACAAGAAATGTAAACCTGCCAACACATCTCCACCACCCCCACAATCAATTACTACACCCCACAACAGAGCCATCTACATTCCTGGCTCTTATACCCGCACCTCCAGAAATGTAATGTGGGGGCACGTTTGTCACAAGAAAACCACTCTCTCTCCAATCTCTCCCTTCTAATCCTCAAAGAGAATTTACAAAATACCTTTCACAGATGAGTCTATGAACTTCACCTACTCAATCTACCATATACAAAAAATCATAGACTAAATATAGACATTGGATTTATGACACATTATAACCTGCCTAACATCTGAGTCCTTCCACTTTTTACCAGCTACTCTCATTCCTTCCGCCCTCCCGCACCCTCCTGCCTCTCATCCTTTGGCTACAGCTACATTCATTCCTCCTCTCTCACCTACTGACTACCTCAATTTACATTTTAACTGATTGGCTTTCTTGCATATATACTGGCCTCTGGCTGCTTTACCACTCCATCCAGGAAGAGCACAGACCATCTGCAGATACTTCCTCAGCCTGATAAATGGTGTTTGTGCCCAAAAGCTTGCTAAGAAGAATTTTTCCAACTATTTAAGTTGGTCTAATAAAAGATATCGGATTTACCCAAAGAACTTTGTCTGCCTATGTCTTTAGACCAACATGGCTACAACCTACATTCTTTTGCTACTGACATTTTTTTACTTACCGTTTTTTCCCCCTTCCCTCCACCCTCCTACAGAAATCCTGTGTTGTTATTAAAACCAGTCCTCTTGAAAAGACAGGGAAATGGATGATAGAAGGATGTTCTCAACGCAGAGGTTTTATATGCCAGAAAAAGAGTGGTGAGTTCAGTTTCACTAATCTTGCAAATTAAAACACATTAACACTTCCATTTTTAAAGGGTTTTGTTTAAAATGTTGGGAGAGTGAGTATGCATGCACACTTGTGCATATAAACATAGTAGAGGAGATCTACAAAGACAATATATAGTGTAAGGCGAGTAAGTTGAATGATAATGGAAGTTATTAAGTAGTTAATAAGTAGTCTCAATTTTGGAGTGGTACATTGGATTATTTGTATATTTGGCAAGCATTAGTATAATACAGTGGCACTTGTTTGATCTAGTTATGATATGGGCCAGTGTTACATACACAGCTCCGATTTGTAGTTTATACCTCATCAACAGTGGTCTGTTCTGGTTCTGAAATCCTCAAAGAATTCCAATTATTCATAGTTAAGGATTTATAATGTGAATAAACATCTTCTAGGATCAATACTAAACTCATTTATACTTATGATTGTGTAAAACACATGTGTGCTTAATGCTTCCAACCTCAAAATGTGGTTTTGATTACTGCTATTTTGAAAAGCTCAGTTCATCATTGATATTAAATTAGAAGGTTTTCCTATTTACAATTAGTACTGTGCTGCTTTGTTTTTTAATATTCCAGGTGTTTGTTGCTCAGTAAGTAGCACACTGTACATCTAAATCCCAAAGATTATCTTTGTATATTTTTATCTTTCCCCTTTTTATTGCAGACTCAAAATTATATAAACCCTTGACAGCTATTCCAAATGATGGTTTTTCCCATTTTGGTGATAGTAGCTATTCACTCATCCAGTCCAAAATGACATGGGAGGAGGCACGAAAGAACTGCATGGATAGATCATCAGAACTTGCCAGCATTTTAGATCCATACAGCCAATCATTTGTGTGGCTATTGATGCTAGAACATGGGAACCCAGTTTGGATTGGTCTTAACAGCAATGTGGTAAGAATATCAGATAGGATGCAACTGATCCAGGTTATTTCAGTCTTCATTTTTCCTATTCAAATTATATGAGCCGCCATTACCATAACTGTATTTAGCTGGATTCCCCATGCTCTTAAACCAAACATGTCAGACTGCAGAGGTGACCTCAGCAACAAATATTGATGTTAGGATAATCTAGGCCAGAAATTTATCAAACAGAACCATTTAGTAAAGAGCTGATTTCAGTGAATGAATGGCTTTTAAATGCATATGCATAGAAAGAGAGTCTTGACAAGTGGTATTCAACATGTAGAGCTATGGTAGAGCTTGTAATCTAAATATAGAGCTTGGCCAAGGGGTTCCCATTATTTTCTACCACATGATGAGCTTCTTTTGCCTTCAAAAACACTCAAAAACTAAATTCATAGAGGAATTAAACCCATGTGTTTGGTCATGCCAGAGATTTAACAGAAGAACATGAAACATGTCATATTGGGTCTGACCAGTGGTCTGTCTGTCTCTGACACTGCAAGCATTAGAAGCTTAGAGAGTCTATATATGTACAGGGCATGTCTAGTATAATTCAGCCCCTGTCATATTCTTTCTGAGTTCATCCATCACTGGTTTGGAGATGTTAGAAGATACGTTCCCTGACTCTTCTTTTTAATAGATCTCTTCAGTGACATCACATCTAAAGTTCATACCATACAACATATTCCAATTTTTTTTGGATGCAGTAAACCATTGTTCTTGACAGAAACAATGTACAAAGGGGAACGAGAAGGAGTCAAAGGTATAACAAGACTGAAAATTATCCTGGTTTAATCTTCCTATTTTAACCATTATAATGGTTTAATCTTCCTATTTTAAATTATATTTGGTGTAACTTTTCCTTTGAAGAAACTGGAATATTATGGGTAGGAATCTTTTGTTACTGAGAAAATATTATATTTCCTCTTTTTGACACTGGGGTTTATAAATATTTGGATTGTAAGTGTGCTTTGATATTTTATCTTCCCCCATGTGGAATCATAGTCATGTGACTACATAACCATAGCTAAAATATAATGGCTTTTGATAGAGCCCTTCTATCTATACTGTTACTCTGTAAGGGAAAGTCAGGCTTATAGTTTTACTCCCAACTTTTCCTGTCTTCCCTCATGACACCTCTCTTCCTCGGACATTCCTAGGATGTCCTTCCTAGAACATCCTCATAATTCTTAAATCCTTATTTGAAGTAGAAGAGGTAGAGTAAACTTATTCCTGAGGAATTTCAATTACAGACCACTCTGTGCTCTCATTAATGTACAACTTCATATCTTATTCTAAGCACAGTTCACCCAGAGTATAGCACCATAGATTGTTCATCTAGTGCTATATTATTATTAATCATAAAACATGTTATTAGTATGTTTTTGTACTGCTGTCCAGAGGTGGACAGCAATGTACACAAATGTTAGTTGTATGTTTATGTTATTTTGCTAGGGTAGTATGTATTGCTATATGGATGTAATAAGCCAACCTTGAAGTTATCCAATTGATTTTATTTTCAGACAAATGGCAATTACAAATGGATAGATACGTGGAGAATGGATTATACTCAATGGGCGAGTAAGGAGCCAAAACAGACAATAGCCTGTGTCTATGTAGATCTTAACGGAATGTGGAAGACAGGGTCATGTACCAAAAAATATTTCTCTGTCTGCAAACTTTCTGATGGTAAGCAATGTAATTTAACTGTTTAAACTGGGGAGCATGGAGGTCCATTAGGATACATAAGCCGCCAGAGAACATACTAGTCTTAGGGGTTAGACAAGACCTTTGGGTCTTTCAGTACAGGAAAGCAAGACAACAAAAGCACAACTAAGAGGAGATCCTGGAGAACAGAGGTGGTATGTGTGTGCTGAGCACCTGAAAGTTGTGTCTGGGGGTGGAGGTATGGTTGTGCACACACAGGAGAGTCTTATGGCACATGGGCTGCTGCTGTGGTGCAGGCTCCTGGTCCTGCTGCTGCTGCCCCAGTGCCGGCTGCTTCTGCCACATAGGCTCCCTTGGGGCTGCCATACTGGTCCACACCATCTTAATTTATTGCAAAAAAAAAGTTAGTTCATTCTGAAAACTGTTAACATTCTTCCTGGAACTCACTCAGTTTGTACTCTAGTGAGGGCATTTTTCATTTATTTTTCACAACCTATAGACCTGAACAATTATCTGCCTGATTTAGTGAATAAATTATGTGTTATGGACAAGAACCCCACTCCCATCCCATGAACTCCATGTCTGGTGAATGCAGACTTGCTTCAAATTAAAATCTTATTAACTTAGCTACTGCCAGATTTAATGAAGGATGTCAATGCCTCCATGTTAGGTGTTGTGTGGCCCCTGGAGTGGAATCCAAAGGTCAGAGTTATGTGCCTTTTCTTTTCTATGTAATTCAGAGGAGAGTTAAGTATCTCAGAAGTGTGATTACTGAGTGAGAAGCTGCCTATACAGACCCAATAGTAACCAGTGAACATCTGAAATCATACCTCTTTGCAGAGCTTAGAGGCCTGACTCAGAGCTGCAAGGGAAGCTCTTCCATCCTTATGGGTACAGGAGCCTAGAACCCATTCCTGATTGTAGGGGGCCATGAATGTTCACTAAAAAGAGTAAGCATGACCTGGTCTTTTAAAATCCAGCTGGAGAAGGAACAGAAGCCAGGTGATAATATCTCTTCTACTTAAAAGTTCTTAAGAGGTAGAAATATTTGGCCAGGAGGTGGAAGGTGGGTTTTAATCCCTCCTCAGCCTTGGAGATTCAAACCTATATCCTCCAGTCTCTTAAGAGAACTGCCAGTATACAGTCTCTGTAACTGAAACTTGTCCGCTCGGTGAGTAGGGCATTTAGCCCTGTTATCAATAGTATTTCTGTTTTTTTAATCTAAGATTTATCAAAAATATCTTATCCAAAATTTCTGTTTCTAATATAGACTGTGTAAATAATTCTGGAAGGAGGGAATGGGACTCAAGAGCCCTTCTTCCCACCTGAATGTCCTAATTACTGAGCGACAGTGCTCTTCTTTGCTTGCCCTCTTTGACCTGTTCTAGTCAGTTTGGTAACTATCTAAACCATTGATTCTAATTACACTTACCTAATCTGGTCTTCCTGCAAAGCTTTAGTGTGACTCAAGGAGGTTCAACATTACCTAAAATTACCTATGTTCTCCTCAAAGAATAAGGAAGAATACATTAGAAAATAAAAAATTACGTGCAAAGCATATTAATTTTATTACTCTATGAGATTTTCTACCTTAGCAAAACAAAAGAAATGTAGCTTCAAGGCTGCATATATCTTAATAGGGACAGAAACTGCGTAAGAAATAGACTTGTATACTCATAGGATGAGAATATAATTTGGCCGAGCATTTACATTTCATTTATTCTCTAGTCCATTTTTTGGAATACATTTTGGTTTCACGAGACTACTTGTGAAACCACAAGTCTTTTTGTGAGAGAATTGAATTCAAACTACATAATTTCCTAACAGTTATGGCCCCGACTGATCCACCACAGCTCCCTGGAAAATGCCCTGAATCAGAAAGATACAGCTCTTGGATTCCTTTCCATGGCCATTGCTACTACATAGAGTTTTTAAAAAGTAGAAACTGGATGGAGGCTTCCTTGGAGTGCAGACAAGTAGGTAAGTGCTGACTTTTTGAAGAGTGGAAATGTAATTAGCGATTCACAAATAGTATTTTTAAGACTAGTTCAGCTCCTAATAAACTTAGTTCATTACTGACTCTTCACTATTAGTGTTTCATATTTACTATTTGTATTTCACTTGCCCAATTAAATTGGACTGATCAAATCATTATTTAGTTTTTATACATTAGCAAATAGCAACATGCAGAGTTATTAAGTGTCCAGGTCAGTAAGCATTGAGGACCCTTTCCCAAGGTCCTCAGCATCTGTGATTAACAGAAAACAGAAGCTATTGGGAAAGGTGGGGGAGCAGAGGAGAGAAAAACTCTAACTAGATCATCATAATTAAATCTCGGGGAACTGTTCTATGATGCTTAATTACATGTTTACAACATATCCCCAGCACTCAAGGGCTACATACAGATAATCAAAAAGCCCAAGGCTGAATTGATTCGATCTTCCCAGGTTAGTCTAAACTGCATAGATTGAACTGATAACCAAGTGAACAGACATTCACTTTTGATTCCTGAAATGCATTCACATGCCTGTAGTGGTGCAAGCCAGAAGCTGGGGGGCACTACATCATGCCTTCCTGCTGGGCTAGAGCAGATAGGTTGGGCCAAATCTATCCTACCCACCCTGCAAGGAGGGGGGGTGTAGGGGAGGTACAAAGCATCTTGGGTATAGGTGGATTAACAGATAGGCTAGCTCTGCCCATGTCCAGGAGTGGTACCAAATAGGAGCCCTGAGATCCTCATCAGCAGGGAGGAGAAAGCCGTGGTTTTAAACTTGGCACTGTTTTTGTCCCCAGCAGAGAGAGAAAAATTGTGCCAAGTTTAAAACTGTGGCTTTTGCATTTACTTCCCTGTGAGCTGGAAGTGGGGCCCCTCTGCCAATGGCGGGCAGGGCCAGGTACACCACACTGCACCATACCTCGGCAGGGGGGGGTTGGGGGTGGGGCCAGACTGGGAGCACTACATCATACTGCACCCCTGTGGCCTGGCGGGCAGTGGTGCTGAGGGGAGTATTGGGGGGCTATAGCTCCCCAAATTCATCTTAGCCTCCCCATAGCCAACCCTCCCAGTGCCACCCCTACTCACAGAAACATGGCTTGGTGCTCCCAGCCCAGCCCAGTGCATCTGCGAGGCAGTAGGGGATGTAGCTGGGCAGCAGCTCCCTGCAGGTAAGTGTAATAGGGGCCTGGGGCATGGAGCTAGACCATGCCATGGGCAACTCATGGTGCGGGGGGTGGGGAGCAGGGAGCTGCCTCAGAGTGATTGAGAGTGGGGGAGGGGGGAGGTCCTGTGAGGGGAAAGTGTGTGTGTGTGTGTCTGTATCTGTGTGTGTCCATGTGCAGAGTGGGAGAGCGTAGAGTGTGCACCTGTGTCTGTGTGCACACCTGTATATGTGTGTGTACATTTGGCCATGGTGGGGGAGGGGGGCTTGGGAGCAGGGAGAAGAGAGGTGGGCATGTGCCCCCCTACCCCTAGCCTGGCAGAGTCCACCCAGCCTCCCCAGCCAGCACCAGGAGGGGAAGGAGCCCCCTCCTCCACCCCTGCAGCCCAGTTCCCATGGTGGGACAGGGCCTCCAATTTTGTGTTTGCCTAGGGCCCCAATACACCTTAATCCACCTTTGATCCTCGGATGCTGGGGGACTGAGAGTTAACTTGAAACTGAAGGGGATCTGGGACAGAAGTTCAATAAACCAATTTAACCTAAATCAGTTATATCTGATACTACATCCATCCAGGTTTATCTTAAATCAATTTAACCCATTTTGAAAGCAGTTTATGTGCACTGAACTTCTGTTGTGTTACAGACTTGAACCAGTTTCCCATCATTTATACCATTTTATGTGTAATTTCTATCTCGAGCCAGTGGGAGGACCACCTTCACATGTGCCAAACTTGAAAATTTGTCAAAGAAATTGCTGCAGCTGACCCTTATTCCTAAACCACAGCCCCTCCCCTCCAGCCCCGCTGCTGCCTCTCACTCCTTACCTACTGTACATTGCACCCCAGCTTTGCCAGTGTCCCTCACACCTAACCCACAGCCCTCTTCCCCCTGAGTCCCACCAGTGTCCCTCACTCGTGACCTGCTGCCCTCTGCCCCTCCCCAGCCCTGATGCCCAAACAGCTCGCATGTGTGTGCTCTCTCTCTCTCTTTTACTGTAAGCAGCTGTCGGGGCCTGCGCATAGAGCACATGATCCCCTGACAACCAATCACCCTTTTCAGCTGTCCCCCAGCCCCAAGCAGCCAAGCCGAAAGTGCCAGAGAAAAACAGAGGGAGAGCAAAAACCCAGGCATTTGCTTACATTTAAAAAACCTGCCTGGGCAGAGGACAGGGAATCAAAAAAGAGGACAGGTCTGGAAAAATCCAGACGTATGGTAACCCTAATTTTTCACATATTTAAAAATAAACCCCTGGAATAAGTTCCACATAGGTTATTTAGCCAGTAGGAAAAGTAAATATTACATTAATGAGCAAAATGAAAGAAGAGATGTATAGGGGCACAGCTGCAGGGGCCAGAGAGACTGGCACCACAGGGGTGCAGCCTCAGAGACCAGAGAGCATGAGGCCACAGGGACGCAGCTACACAGGGCCAGGGGCCCAGAGCAGATTGAGGGAAGCCAGTGGCTGAAAGCTGGGCTCAACACAGTGGGTCTCAGTTGGACAGCTTAGCTACATAAATAGGGGTGGAAGCCTCATTGGCTGAGACCCCAACAGAGTGAACAAAAGATACATAAACTTCTGTGAGGCATGGGGCATGATAAAGGGGTAGTCTGGGGTCATGCAAATAGTCCTTAAGGCAGTAGCTCATCACCTCCAGATGTTTGTCAGCATAGACCAGATCTGGAAAGCCTTGAGGCAGCCTTCTCTTTGAGAACCCCAAGAAACATCAATACGTGGCAGGTGAGTGAAGGGGAGTCTGTTCCCAAAAGAAAATTCAAATATAAAGGGACTCTGGGGTGCCTCCAAGCTTTTTCAAAGGCTGGTGAGGATTCATAGATTCATAGATGCTAGGGTCGGAAGGGACCTCAATAGATCATTGAGTCCGACCCCCTGCATAGGCAGGAAAGA